ATATTTGATTTTCCCTCACTGAGCAAGGACTATTAGCTGAAATGTAAGAAAAAATTCAAAAAACTGATTTGAAATATATCTATGCATAAGTATTGTAAAAAAAGAATAAAGAAAATAATTTAAAAATGAAATAATGCAATGTGTTATTATTCGATATGATATTCTTGGAAATCAACTTAGATTTAATTTTGCATTATTTATTTTGATTTTTATTAAATTATTATTATTATCTACATATTGAAAAATGTATATATATATTATTTAAATTATTCATTTGTTTATTATATACATTTTGCAAAGTTTATATATATTTATATTTTTTTCCTTTATTTCATTTGTATTTTATCTACATTATGAAATACTTATATATTCGGTTTTTTTTTTAATATTCTATTTTTTTTTTTTTTTGAGGTTTCTCTTTCCCAATTTTAATTTTGGTTTGTTATTTATTATTTATTTTTTATTTATTTATGCATGAAGATACCTATTTTCTAATTATTATTACATTATTAATTTATTTACTTATTTTTAATTAAGTTTTGAATATTTAATTGTTAATTTTTTTTGTATATTTCTCTCATTATTATTTATATTTTTAATTTCCCTTTTTTATTTATTTTTTTTTTTTTTACATTAAAATTTTGCTATAAACTTTATATTTAATTAACTATTTATTTATTCTATTATTCTAAAATTTATACAAAGCAAATATTTGTTACTGGCTTTCTCTCTCTCTCTCTCTGTGTGATTTAATTTGTTAAGTATTTTAACTTAATCTAACTGAAAACTCGAAATAGGTAAGCATATCAAAAGATTCTCCAAACAGGTTTGCTAGCATTAGTTGAAGCATATAAAAGTTGCGTGTTCAATAAATAGCTCATCCTTATCTTGCTGCTAATCTGATTGACAAACATTTTTTTCTGCGTGAGTTATATGCCGACAAGTTGTTTAAAATTCAAGAAGAGAAGCCACAAAAAATACCTAGAGCTGCTCACGTTGTGAGCTGGTGAGCTCAAGACCAGATTAGCCATGTCGACTCTGACACAATGGTGTAGCCCCGCACTTGGCACAGCAGAGCCGTAGGCTTGAATGCTTGAATGCTTGGATGTTCGCATGGGCGCAGCTTGTCTGCGTCCTTGACTTTAAGAGTTGTCGTGATCTTTTTTCTGGTTTTCTGACAGCCTTTGTTTTTGTGGCTTCAAAACGAAAATAAAAGTGCCAAAAATGCAAATTCAATCGAATTTACTTAACATAAATTAAGACAAAATGTTTTTGATTAATACTAAGACAGTTGCTAGCTGCTCAGCTCAGCTGAAAGCAACCTGTTGCTGCCATCTGACGCTGTTCAACTGACTCATCTCGAGCTTTTTGTTCGATGATTTGCTAGAAGCTTGCTTTGCGGCATTTATTTTACTGTTTCTGCTTGTGGTTGTTGTTGTTGTTGTTATGCGCTTTGGTTATTTATTAACATGTTTGCTTTTTATTGCAACAGCACCAGCAAACGGACGGTACCGAGGCGACAAAAGCTGTCGCTGCCGCTGTCTCTGCCTCTGCCGCTGTCGCTGTCGCTGTCGCATACGTAACCCAAAGTAGAGAAGAAGATCAGCAACTGCGTCAGCCCGGATCACAGCTCAGCTCATGCTCATCAGCGTTGCCGTTGACGTCGCTTGCCATTTTACCAGTTAAGATCTGCGTTTTGTATCTATCGCAAAACAGTCGAAATTGTCTGCTCGTTGGCTGCACATCGCGCTCGCTGCTAGCCTCTCTAAACGTACACGTGGTGCCAAAGGACACTACACTTGAAGGATAACACACACACGCAGTCACACACATAAACGTTCAATATGGCTAAAATTATTATCAGTGCTTTGTTGTGTCTGGCCATGTTTGGCTCGTTGGGTAAGTGCAAATCAAAATTCCATACAAAATAGAAAAAGAAAAAAAACCAAAAACATTTCATACCGAAACGAAAGACTTAGGCAACAAACTTGTGCACCTAAACCACTTAAAGCGTGTTGCGCTGCCCACAGAATGCGTTTGACTCTCATTCGCCAATATTTGAGTGTGTATACATAAAAATCATAATATTTTTGTGTGATGTTGGTAAATATTTATTTTTGCCTAAAAGTGTGTTAAATGCACTTATTTTATTCATTAAATATTATAAAAATAGTTTACTAAATTAAGAAGAATTTATGATTGATAGTGATGACCTTATAATAAAACAAAAATAAATAAATAAAAAATATATGGTAGTATGTATGTATATAACTGAATAAATATTAATATAAACGTATGTTTATAAATTTGACAAAATTTAATCAATTAAAAACTTGAACTTGAAAATATGCATATATTATATACATTATATTATATTTAACACAAATATAGTATACATATACTACTAAATCAGGTTATAATAAAATTGTTAATATTCAAGTCACATTTTCACTGAACTGGGTCTATTAAGATATTTATACTGAGTTTAGTGTTTGACATTAAGATATAATAAATTCGATGTGGAAGCGGGTAAACAAAAATACCCAGATTATTCCCCAGATATTCCCAGATTATTTATAAATTTATATATCTACGTAGCCTATTTCTATTTCTTATTTTTTTGTTTGTATCAAATATTTTATTATTTATTATATATATTATTATTTTATTTTATATTATTATTTATTTTTTGTGCATAATCATTAAGTAACAGTCAGAAGTAAAAATTAAATTCTTTCGTATTTTCGCAAATAAAGCAGCTGCAGCAGTTATTTGTATTATTGATATTTTTTTTATAAATTTTAATATTATACTAGCTAGTGATGCTATCTTATAAAAAATCTGATGACATTTTTGCAGCTCCTTAAATATTAACTTTGCTCTGCTTTCATTGAGTGAATAATTAAATATTTACTTTGCTCTGCTTTCATTGTGCGAATTTCCGCACTCAAATCAAATCAAGTATAATGGAAATATTTTTACATTTAAAAAATATCAAAGTCTTTACTCGATTTGAGTCCCACGTTTTCTCCAGCACAAAGCCATTGTAATTGCCTCTATTTGGAGGCGCCACAATTAAAATAACTGAATAAATGGCTTTCGTATAAGTGCGCCACGCCTCCGAGCCTCAAGCTGTGGGAGACACGACACATTGCTTTAATTATGTCTGTTGTTAATGCATTGGAGCATCGAGCAGCGTCATCGCGCCATTAGGCAACAAGCATTGAGTATGAGGCCATGATGAATAACTTTTCCAAACAATGCCAGGAAATTGCAGCAAATAAAAATTGTCAAAAAGACAAAAAAAAAACAAGTAAGAAGACTCTAGTCGAGACTGCTCGACTAGGAGATACCCTGAACCCT